CCCTTCGCGCCGTCGAGGAGCTCGGCCTCGTCGTCGGCGACCTCGGAGCCCTTGGCGCCCTCGGAGCCCGCGATCTCGAAGCCCTTCGCGCCGTCGAGGAGCTCGGCGCCGTCGCCAGCGATCTCGGAGCCCTTCGCGCTGTCGAGGAGCTCCGCGACGTCGCCGGCGATCTCGGAGCCGCTGGCGCCTTCGGAGCCCGCGATCTCGGAGCCCTTCGCGCCGTCGAGGAGCTCGCTGTCGTCGCCGGCGATCTCGGAGCCGCTGGCGCCCTCGGAGCCCGCGAGCGCTGCCAAGATTAGCTGGGCGTCCAGCCCAAACTCCCTGGCCACGTTGCCGATGTAGTCGGCGTCGAACTCTGCCGCCCCCGCGTCCGCGAGCACCGGTGTCGGCTCCGCCGCCGCCGCCTCTATTGGCGCTGGTGCTCGCTCCTCCGCCGCCTGTGCTGGCCCTGCCGCCGCCTCAGTTGGCGCTGGCGCCGGCGCCTCCGCATCCTCCGGTGCCTCCCCCGGCGGCCTGAAACAGAACGCGAGCTGATCCCTCCCTCCCATCCTTTCCTCCTCCGCCTCCTCTTCCTCCTCCTCCTCCTCCTCGTCGCCCTCCTCCTCCTCCCGCCCTCCTCCTACTCCGACTTCTCCTCCTCCCCCTCCTCTTTGCCAACTCCTCCTTCTCCTGGGCCCGAGCGGGGCCTCTTCTGCAACAGCCTCTTCAGCTCGAGCACGGCCTCCGACCTGCTGCTGGACCCCCTCTGCCTGAACATGGTGCGCAGCTTGGAGAACAGCATTTTCATCTTCGACGCCTGCGGCGCAGCATGGATTGGGAGGAGAGGGTGGAGAAGGAAGAGGAGAATCATGGAGGGCAGTCGATGGGTGGAACTGGAGGTGGCCAGACGCCTCCTTCATCGCATGCGTGCGAAGCTCGACCTCCCTGACCTCTGCTTGCTTGGGGTCGGCGGGCTTGAACAACTTGCCACCCAACACATTGTGCAGGGCAATGAAAGAGTCCGCCATCTGGAACCCACTTGGAATCACAAATGCAGCGTTCTTCACCGTTGCCAACACGCCATGGATCCAGAATGCGTTGCGCTCAACGTCTTCGTGGCAAATACCTCCCACCTTCCCAGACTTGAACACCACGCACGCATTTCCGCTGCCCTTCCTGCTCTTCACCGCATTTACAACTGAGGGGCCCATCAGTTCTACCCATTTCTCGGCAGTTGCTTTCACATCAGACTCTGTCCACTCCACTTTGCGCCCGCGGCATGATCTCCACGCGGGCGCCGCCGGCTGCGCCGCCATCGCTAGGGCAGCGCAACCCGCCGCTCAGCGAAGGGTCATATCCACCATCCACCATTCACTCCTCCGCCTGTTCCTTTTCTTCCTCCCCCCCCTCGTCCTCCTCCGTGGTCTCTGGGCGGGAAGGGGGGAACTCTGGGCGGGAAGGGGGGGGGTGGGCGGGAAGGGAGGGTCTGGAAGTCTCTGAAGGAGGGGTCTCTGGGCAGGAAGAGGGAGTCTCTGGGTGGGAAGGGGGGGGGGGGTCTTTGGATATCAACCCTGCTGAGGGGCGCGCCGGGCGCCGAGGGCGGGGGGGCCGCCTCTCGCTGGCTCGGGCCCGAGCCTCAGCGGGAGCTCAGCCCAGCAGCTGGGCGGAGTGGAGGAGGGCAAGGAGGGGGGATATTTGATGCACCTCATCTTCTCCCCCTCTTGTTCCCGCGCCCGTCACAGGCCGCAACTCCAGGGCCCCTGGTGCCCCGCGTCTTGCACCTTGATTCTCACTTCCAGCTCTATGGAGATCATTCCTGCCCCCCCTCGCCTTCCTTCCCCTTCCACCCCCTTCTGGCACCTATTTATTTCTCCCGCGACTTCCCTCGTCTCCTCCTCCTCCTAAAGCGAAGCTGCGAACTGCAGACTGCATTGATCGGCGCGTGGATGGACTTGCTCTCTCACGGGTGCGATGGACTTGCTCTCTCAGGGGTGCTACTGCTCCTCCTCCTCCTTCATCCTCGGCTTCCTTCTCCTCTTCCTCGTCCTCGACCTCCCCTTATCATCTTCCGCCTCCTTCTCCTCCTCCTCCCCCCCCCCCCTCCTCTGCCGAGCTCTTCCTCCTCCGAGCCCCTCCTCCTCCTTCTCATCCCTCCTTCTCTTGATCATCGTTCCTGTCTCCCTGTCGCCCTCCCCCTGCAGGCGCCGCGGCGCGGCGCGCGGGGTGGCGGGCAGCCGGAGGGCGAAGAAGTCGTTGGCCTGAGCGCGCTCGGACCAAGAGGGGGCTGAGCAGACGGAAAAGGGGATGAAGGGGTAGGGGGGGGGCAATGGGAGGGCCACGGCGAAGCAAGGAGCTGGATATCGGGATGGAGGGAAATGGGAAAAGAGGAGAGGGGGGGGCGGGGGGGGAAGGGGTGGGGGGCAAGGGGGTCTCTCTCTCTCTCTTTCTATTGTTTTGTTTCTCTCTCTCTCTCTCTCTCTCTCTCTCTCTCTCTCTCTCTCTCTCTCTCTCTCTCTCTCTCTCTCTCTCTCTCTCCTCTCCTTTTTTTTTTTTCTCTCTCTTCTCTCTCTCTCTCTCTCTCTCTCTCTCTCTCTCGTCTCCCTTCTTTCTCTCTCTATCTCTCTTTCTTTTTTTTTTCTCTCTCTCTCTCTCTCTCTCTCTCTCCTCTCCTCTCTCTCTCTCTCTCACTCTTTCTCTTTGGTCATCGTCATTGTCCTCCTGATCCCGCTTCTTCCATATCCTTCCCGCCATCTAATATCATGTGTCTCTCTCCTCTCTCTGTCTCTCTCTCTCTCTCTCTCTCTATTGCTCTCTCTCTCTATATTGCTCTTTCCCTCTTTTTTGTTTCTCTCTCTCTCTCTCTCTCTTTCTCTCTCTCTCTCTCTCTCTCTCTCTCTCTCTCTCTCTCTCTCTCTCTCTCTCTCTATATATATATGTATATTCCTGGTTGTTTTAGTCCTCTCTCTCTCTCTCTCTCTCTCTCTCTCTCTCTTTATCGCGTTAGTTGTCTCCCCTATCTCTCTCTCTCTCTCTCTCTCTCTCTCTCTCTCTCTCTCTCTCTTTTTCTCTCTCTCTCTATATATAAGTGTTTTTGTTGTTGTTTGTTTTTTTTCTCTCTCTTCTCTCTCTCTCTCTCTCTCTCTCTCTCTCTCTCTCTCTTCTCTCTCTCTCTCTCTCTCTCTCTCTCTCTTTCTCTCTGCTTTTCTTTCTCTTCCTGAAAAAAGAATGGGGAGGCGCGCCGCGGCACTGGCCATGGCGCGCAGGCCCGCGAGCCGGCCGCGCGCAGCGGCCGAGGCCCCGCGAGCAGAAATGGCCGCGCGCACGGGCGACAGGGGCTGGGCGGGCGTCCGCGGTCGGTTGGCGTCGGTCGGCCAGCGTTCTGACCGAGATTTCAACGTGAATCCAGCCGTGGCGACGAGGGCGCCCCAGGGCCCCGAAGGTCGGTCGGCGTCGGTCGGCGGCACCGTTCTGACTGAGATTTCAATGCGAATCCAGCCGTGGCGACGAGGGCACCCCAGGGCCCCAGGAAGGTCGGTCGGCGCGGTCGGCGGCAACGTTCTGGCTGAGATTCCCGCGAATCCAGCCGCGGCGACGAGGGCGCCCCAGGAAGGTCGGTCGGCGTCGGTCGGTGGCAACGTTCTGACTGAGATTTCAATGTGAATCCAGCCGTGGCGACGAGGGCGCCCCAGGGCCCCAGGCTGGTCGGTCGGCGCGGTCGGTGGCAACGTTCTGACTGAAACAGGTTCCCCCCCTCCCCCCTCCCCTCCCCCTCACCCACGCACACGCGCACGCGCCACGCACACGCGCACACACACACACGCGCACACACACACACACACACACACACACACACACACACACACACACACACGCGCACGCACGCACGCACGCACGCACGCACGCACGCACACACACAACACACACACACACACACACACACACACACACACACACACTCTTTTTGGTTACCATAATTTGGTGCACGATGGATTTTTCCCGGTTGTGACCCCGCGCGACGCGGGGCATTTCCGCGCCCGGCTCTTAATCGCAGGGGGAAGGGAAAAACAATGAGGGCAGCCGCTGCACTGTGGTGGCCCTGGCCCTGGGCGACGCGACAACCCGCGTCTACAGACGACAGACCGAGGGCCGCAACGAGATCGGAAGCGAGCGCGCGCGCGCGGGCGCACGTGCGCGGCGCGCGCGCCCAATGGGCAAGGGAGTCACGGGGAGAGGAAGGGAGCAGACAGGCAGTGCCCCGGACGCGCGAATCGCGCGCCTGCTTCGCGGACCCACGGGCAGCGCGGGCACCCGCGTGGACGCCAGCAAAATGGCGTTTCCAGACGCGCGGCTACATGACATGAACATATCACGATTCATTTACCATGGCGTATAACTTATCTAACATAATATATTCCCATAACAATAGCATACAAGCAAACCGCAAAATATATAATAGCATATCGTTATGTCATACCAAATCGTAAGGTTCCGTAACCACCTATCGGTGTGTCGTAACGCCATTTCATGATGATAGTCGCGCTTTGGCGGATCATCGGGCAACGCCCGATGATGGAGTCTCCAGGAAGGTCATCCTCCCGCGGCAAGGAAACTGACCCGTCCGTGGCCTGTCGGAACTCGTCGGCTTCAGGGAAATTCCAATCCCCTGCCAAACACGAGAGCCCAGCACCCAAAGCTGGAAGAGATCGGCGAAGCCGTCCTAGAACACTATGGACTGCACGAACAGAAATACCAGGATCAATATGAACGTTTGCTATATTCAGGTTCCCGAACTCCCCGAAGAGCTTCACCACCAGAATCCTGCCTCTAGCGACCTCTGAGACCCGAGCAGCTCTGAACTTCTTCAGGAAGGCCTTCGAGATGGAAGTAATGACACCGCCAGCAGAATGAGAACTACAGAAGGAGCCTAAGTGGATATGAGAACGGAAATCGCGTCGGAGAGCATTCAGGTCTTGGGGCGTCCCATGAGTCTCCTGCGTGTTTACTATATCAAACCTCTCAATCAAAGATCGGAACTTGCTATACTTCTGACTCTGACGCCTATGATTGGCCCAAATACTACCTAACAGAGCTTGCGTATTCCACGAGACCACCCCGAACGAATTCAGAACTCTAAATGGCGAGCGATCAGAACGAATTAAGGGGGCTCCAAAAATGGGATACACAGCCTCCAGCCGATCGGGGCCCACAGAGGAAGAGGAGGAGGAGGAGGAGGAGGAGGAGGGGGAAGACGGCGGCAGAGGCGGCACACAGCGCCTGCGCTTCACTGCACGACACCCACTAGCTGCACCCGCAGCTCGTCGCCCAGTGACGTAGATGCTGGTGGTGTTCCCACGGTTGCCCCGGTTGCCCGGCGCGTCGCTCATGACTACGTCCTAGCGCCGCTTGGCCACTAGCGCAGACACACGCTCCGCTAGGCTGTCGATGAACTCCTTCGAGAGGCCGACGACGTGGCAGTCTTCCAGCGGCACAATGATGAACGTGCCCTGGGCATCCTCCGAGATCTTCACCAGGCCCCACACCTCCTCGTTAGCCGAATTGTAAAGGTGCAAGTGTCCAGGAGGAGGAGGAGGAGGAGGAGGAGGAGGAGGAGGAGGAGGGAGGAGGAGGAGGGGGCGAGGCTCTGAGGGGCCCACGCTGTGCAAAAACACGGCCTCGGGGGGGGGGGTCTAAGCCCGCCGGCCTCGGAGCGGCGCCAAAACGAAAGGGCCCGTCTGCGCCGACGGTGGGGCGCCAGCGGCCCTGCGCAGGCGGCAGCGTTCGCTGTGATGTAGGGTTAGGTCGGGCATGTCATCCTACAGGCGGAGCTTGGAAGAAAAAGAGGAGTCGAACAAGAATCAAAAACCGTCCAAAAGAGCACGAGACAATCGTCACCAGACGATGTGTTTGAATTACTGTTCTTGGAAATTCCTCCTGTAGAGGGACATGCCCGACTGAAGGTTCGGGGGCAACTCCTGGGAGGTGTTCGCAAAAACTGCTGCAGGCGATTGAGCCCGATCCAGGGGCCATGAGGCTGGAGCAGCCCCGAATACAGTGGAGGCCAGTCCACAAGAAACCTTCCGCAAGAAACCCAACCATCAGACCCCAGGACGTGTATGTATTCTTGGTGTGCCCCATAGCAAGCCCCTCGAAACCCAAGAAACCCAGGGCACCCTCGAGGCAAGCAGGGCCTCCACTGTAGGCCCAGGAGCAAGCCCCGAGGGAGCCACATCAAGCGGGATTGTAGCAAAATGTGCAAGTTTTCGACCACGGATATACCAGCGCCACTGGCGAAGGGAAATGTATCCGAAGTGACGGGCTCGTGAAGGAGAGCTGCAAAGGGTTGGATAAAGGGTCGAATGAAGGGGTCGTAAAGGGTTCTGGTTTGGTTTGTTCGATGATGCGAATCGTTTTCTGCCTCGGGACGGAGGGGAGACGTTGAAGGCTTATCCCCAAAGCATGCAGCTCGACGCCACCCGATATTCCCCATTCAGTTTTTGCACTGAAGGGTTCTTCGCGAAAGCTGAACAAATTGGCGAAAAATCCCGCCGATTTTGGTAGCAAGCTGGGTTCCACGGTTCCCGGTTCCGGGCTTCCGGGTTCCCGGTTATTGGTTCCGGGCCGCTTTCGGTGGGTTCTGGGTTCCCGGGTTCCCAAGTTCCCGGTCGATTTCCGCAACAGAAACCATCCACTGATTTCTGCGGTGTAATTACACCATAGAACAAACCCAATCGCTGGATGGTTTTCGCCGACGAGATCGACCGGGAACCCGGGAGCCCGGGAACCCAAAACCACCGAAACCGGCCCTGAACCAATAACAGGGAACCCGAGAACCCGGAACCGGGAACCCGGGAACCCAACCTGCTACCAAAATCGGCGGGAAACTTTCGCCAAATCTTTCAACTTCCGCTGGGGCCCCTTCAGTGCAAACACTGATCGGGGAATATCACAGCTCTGAACCTCAGAATCTGGTAAGTCGACGCCGCCAGACGCCAATGCCGTTGCCTCAAACCTTAAGCCCACTCGGCCGGGACCGAAATCGGAGAACTCCGAAGACTTCGAAAGCAAACGAATGCGACAGTCCAACATGGGAAACAGGAAGAGAAGGCGAAGAAGGAGAAAAGGGAATAAGGAGCAGGAGGAGAAAAAACAGAGAAATTGAGGAGGACGACGAGGAATCCGCTGGCCCCCTTGACGGGGCCACCAGGCTGCGAGGGTGAGGATTGCAGCTCCCTGTGCCAGATGCAGCTTCCAGTCTCCACTGTTACAGTCCTGCGTCCTGCTTTCATACTGTTATTTGTTGCTGAACGCGCGAGGGGGGGAGCCCCAAACCAGATTGTTTCACCGCGCCCAGATCGCGCTGTCTGAATTCCTGGGGGGGGGGGCGGGGGACACGTAATCCACCCGCCCGACAAGCAGAACCACCGATGCATGGACCCCCCCTCTGTGGGAGAAGGGTTCCCCGCCCCGAACCCATATGTGAAAGAAGGGGTCGCTGCGCGAGCTGCGCGAGTGGAAGCGATGGAGAAGAAGAAGAAATGATGGCGCGCAGGGGATCGGGGGGAGGGAACGCAAGAGGAAGCAAAACGAAGGCGGGGGAAGGACGAAGACGACAACACAGATGGCAGCGCTTTTTTACAACGCATGCGACACCGCACGCGACGCACAAAACCGCGCGCGTGCAAGTTCACCCCTCCGCCGCTCACGCGGAATTCGCGAGGCATCCCTTCGCTGCTGCCGCTCCTCTGTTCGCTCTTTACTAAGCTATTCCCCATCCACGGGTTGTCGTCGTCATCCTTAGGAACGCGCGTCTAACCAATCCAAGGCGGTATTTCCACCGACCCTGCGCGGCGCTAACTATCGCCATCGTCTGGTTGTCGCGGGTGCAGAATCGCAGCGGCACTTTGAAAGTTCTGGCTGCGCTGGACGCGGGGCCGCCCTGCCCCGCTGCTGCGGGGCCTCCGCGCGCCCCCGCATCCCAGCCGTCGCGCCATCCCCGCCAGCCGCCCTCGTTGCCCCAGCGGTTCCCCTCCCAGCCGTCGCGCCACCCCCACCAGCCGTCGTGTTTTTAGGCGGGGCGAACAGGGCCATCCAGAAGGTGGGCCGTCGAAAGGGTGCATGGAACGGCTTTCGGGGAGGCGTTCCAAGATTTCTGGAACGCCTTTCCGCCCAGCGTTCGGAGCAGTTCGGTCGCCTCGGCCCACGGCCCGCTACCGCGTCGACATGGAGACACCTCGAAGCGGGATCAGGCCGCACGAGTGAAGCCAAATTGTCTGCGAGGGGCAGCCTTGGAATTGCTGTTCTGCCACCCTCTCTCCTTCTCGTCCTAGGTGTGCCCGTCGACCGCCGCGCCCTTTCTGTGGCGCCGAAGTGGCCACTTCGCCTGGTCTGCCCCGTGCACGCTCCCGTGCTGGCCCTCCCCCTGCCTCCGCCCACCGCGCAGCCCCTTGCCCCCTCCGCCGCCACCTCCCCTTTTCTCCCTTCACTCCCCTTTTCGCCCCGCGTCGTCGTCGTCGTCGTCGTCGTCGTCGTCGTCGCCCCGCGTCCCACACCAGTGTCGTTCAGCGCCTCACTGATGCTAGCCCGCTACTTACATCTGCCAACCGCGCCCATTTTCTCTCGCACTCTGCCTCCCTCATCCCTCCCCCCCCCCTCCCCCTCCCTTCCCCCAGCTCCCCTGTCCTATTTCGCCTTCCCCCGTCCCCTTCCCCTTCCCTCCCTCCATTTGCCCCTTTCTTCCAACCTCGTGCTCTCCCGCCCCCACCCCTCCCCATTCCCTCCGCCGCCAGCCCTTCCCGAACGCTGTTCCGGGAAGGCGCGCAGCCCTTCCCGAACGCTGTTCCGCGGAGGCCGAATGCAGGCCCCAAGTGGGCCATCCGTCCGGCTGATGCTCCGAGGCCCCAAGTGGGCCATCCACCCGGCTCCTGGAGGCCGCCCCCCCCGAGGCCCCAAGTGGGCCATCCATCCGGCTCATGCACGCCCCCGACCCTCGCACGCCCTGCGCGCAACCCCCTCGCCGCCCCCAGGCCCCAAGTGGGCCATCCACCCGGCTCATGGAACATCACACCGGGGCACCCAGTACCCCTGCACTGGTCCAGGGCCCCAAGTGGGCCATCCGTCCGGCTGATGCTCCGAGGCCCCAAGTGGGCCATCCACCCGGCTCATGGAACCCCTTCCCAGAGCTCCCTCGGAAAGGCGTTCCGCGCCTCGGGGGAAGGGTACTCGCGCGCCTGGCCGCCTTGGCTCCCGCGACCCAGGGCGCCCTTGCACCGATCCCAAACCACCCCGCCTCTCCCTCCCCTTCTCCTGCTCCCATGCCTCCCTCCATCCCTCCCTCCCGCCAGCATTCCTGCCCTCTCGCCCCGCACCTCGTCGTCCCTTTTCTCCCTTTTCGCCCCGCGTCGTCGTCGTCCTCCTCCTCCTCCTCCTCCTCCTCCTCACATGTCCTCATCCTTCCGCCCCCCCTCCTTCCTCCTCCATCATCCTCCGCAATCCTGCTCCCGCCCTCCTCCCTCATCGTCCTCCATGCTCATCCTTATGAACCTCCTTTTCCTCCTCCTCCCTCATTCATCCCATTATCACCTCTCCCTCCTCCTCCTTCTCCTCCTTCTCCTCCTCCCCCCCTCCTCCTCCCCCTTTTTTTGACAACCCAACGTCGAGGCGAGTGCACCGCGTCTAGAAGGGCAGCAGCACAGGTGTGGAGGACACTGAGAAAACATGAAGGGAGAAGAGATCGAAAGCCAGTGGGACCATTAAATACGCAAGAGAAGTGGAGACAGTCGAGAGGGCCCAGGGCTGTCTAGCTGGCAGGAGCTGATTCAAAGATGGTTGAGGGACGAGGTGAAAGTGGACGGCCGAGCCATCCGCAATCCCAGCTGTGATTTCTCGCACCACCGCGCTTCCATCCACCCGATGAACGGCCCACTTGTTCATCCACCCCCTGGATGGCCCAGTTCGCCCCCTCCAATGTTTCTCCTGCGCCCACCAGTTCCGCCCCCGCGGGAATCCTCGGCGCGGCCGGCGTTCCTCGGCCCGCGGCGGCCCCCGCAGCTGCGGTGACCATGGCGGCTGGCGCTGCGGAGGTGTTGTGCACGGAGGCGCTATGCGCGGACATGGCCACTGCCGTGCCCAGGCGGTCTGCTCGTCAGCGACGTCAGACCACCCGGCCCCAGGTGCCGCGCGATGTGCGAAGTCCTCTCGCTGCCCCTGGCGCGTCTGCTCTGGCGACGCTGCTGCGGCCTCTTCGAACGCCGCTGCTGCGTCCTCGAGCGCCCCATGGCGGCGGCGCTCTCTCTCTCTCTCTCTCTCTCTCTCTCTCTCTCTCTCTCTCTCTCTCTCTCTCTCTCTCTCTCTCTCTCTCTCGCTCTCTCTCTCTCTCTCTCTCTCTCTCTCTCTCTCTCTCTTTCTATATCTCTCTCTCTCTCTCTCTCTCTCTCTCTCTGTGTATGGATATATATATATATATATATATATCCTTCGGCGCGAGCGGCTCTGCCATCGGAGGTGCGGTTGGGCGCCATCTTGACGGTGAACATGAGGGGGCATT